TGGAATTATGGATGCAAGCATGTTGAATTATATTGGATTAATTGTTTGTATGGAATGTTGATATAAACATATTTTTATTGGATTGATTTGTTAACCACGTTTGGATTATTGAAGGATTGGAATTGAATGGTTTAAGTGGAATGAATTTATTAATTATTCCATGAGGTTATTATTATTTTATTTATTACTCAAGCATGACTTGTTAGTATGTTGAGTAAAGGTGGATTAAGCCGAAATAGCTAGGTGGGCTGACTATGTTCAATTTGGGTAATTTGGAATTTAAAGGAATTAAAAGTCAATTTGTGATGTGATCATCATTGTTCTAAATAAGATTAAAAGTGAATTATATATATGATTATTATGTATGGTTTACTTGAATGAGTCGGCTATTATTTAAATTTGTAATCAAAGGTAAAGTGAAACATGGATGAGCAATAAAATTCTGGAAAGCGTGCACTTCTGGAGTATTGACAATTATGGGTTGGGGTACATGGTGGTAGCCCGTGGCTTGTTTGATCAACATGTCCTCTTTTCTTTTGATATTTACATTTTTATTTTATAATGAAAGTTAGATGAGATCCTAATTTGTGAGAATGAAGTCACGCTCATTCTTGCATCGCGCTATATTTTTATTTTAAATGGTCATTTGGGACCAAAATAATTTGGTGGGTTGGACAACCTCGTCTATTGCTTACTCCAAATTAAATTAATTAAATTTAATATAAAGAGTCAAGTGGATTGGAATTGGTTAGTGAGTATGTTGAGTTGATTGTACTATTTTGGTGTGGAGTCTTGCTTAATGAATTTATATTGAATGTTTGTTTACTTTAATTAGTTGAGCATGCTAGGTTTGGTGCGTTGTAGCTTGTATGTACTCAACTTTGCTGATTGCGTACTTTTGTGTGTTTTGGTCAGGGGCTTCGCCTTTCAATGACCCTGTGATGATCCAATTGGGAAGCAGTATTGCACAGGTTAGCTTGATGATGTGAAGTTCGGGAATTTGGCAAACGCATTGTCAAGGGATTGGTGTGATTGAGAGTATTCGATTCTTGTGTTGAACTTATTTATTTTTTGTTATTCGTTCATGCTTTAGATTTTGAATAATGGTTTGGGTTTTAAATAAGGACCTTTATGGTTCCAGTTTGTAAGGTTTGACTTATTGGTTTTCTAAACTATATTATTTTAATATTTAAGTTGGATTTTTCCGCTGCAAAACTTTGATAAAGCCTGAACGTTTTAACACGTGGCGATAACATGCCAATGGTTCTCTTATATTTTATATAAAGTAAGTGGTTTGGAAAAGGGAGAATTATTGGGGTGTTACAACCTAATTCCTCTCCTAAATGTGCACACCCTCCAAGCTAGTATTTTTATATTGAAAGGTTATTCTTGAGGAATGACTAGGTCATACAAAGTCCATAGTCTTCAATGAATCCGCATAGTGGGATTAATATAATAATCATGTTTGTAAAGTTTAAATAAATAATTCAATAATTCTCATGAAATTTCTCTTTTGAATAAAATCAAACTTTATAATAGAATAACTCAAAAACTCCTTTTGTATTTAATTCAACAAGCTTTTAAAAATCAAACCTTTTTAAAAACTCTTTGAATCAATCCAACATACTTTTAAAAATCAAATTCCTTTAAACATAATAAATAATTTCAAACCATTCAAAACAAGATAGAAATCCATTCTCAAACATTTTTATTAAAACATGAATTCTCAAGGTTAATTTATAAATCATAATTCAAAACAATTTAATTAAAATCACACAAACATGCTTATTAATTCAACAATTTCGAAGGTATCTAGCCAAACGTACCTTGATTTTGAATCTCAATCAACACTTCGCACTTTCAAAGTTCAATCATGAATACACCTTGCAATTAACATAACCATAAAGTTATCACAACATCTTTAGACATAAACCCAAATCTAATGTGCATGGACTATTAAACTCTTTAAAAAATAATACTTTAATATAAAATTATAGCTTTGAAATAAGTATTTATATTTTAGAAAACTAACTAGGAAGAAAATAAAGGAATAGGATTAAAGAGAATTGAATTTGCGTTAGAAATAATAGGCAGAACTTTCAGAGGCTATAAATCCTTCAATGTAAATCTGAATTAGGTGATTCTTGAGCCTAACCTCAAGGAATTTTCGAGAGGAACAATTTTCCGTAAAATAACCAAACCTGACCAGAAGTTTCCAAAAACTGGCTTCAAAGGTATACGGGATAATATTTGTATGAAAAAAGGAGAAGAAAAGTAGAAAAAGGTTGAGGGAAAAGAAGAGTAAGAGAGAAGAAGAGAATTGAGTTTTTGGTGTGAAGAATATGAGAGGTATTAGGGGATATTTATAGGCTCATGAATGAAAGAATTAAGGTAAGATTTTGTAGGAAGAATTATGGTAAATTTAGTTTAAGGAATTACTTGGAAAAGAGAGTTAAAGAATTTAGAAAAGTCTAGTTTATGGTGATTAAGAAATGAAGAAATAAGGTAAGTGTTTAGTCATGAAATATAAAATGGTAAATGGCTTTGCTTGGGGAATAATCAGAAATGATTTAAGGCAAATAAATTGTATAATCAAATCATTGTGAGATGGAGAATAGGAATTAAGGAAATAAGGAAGATAATTATAATACAAAACTAACAAAATAATTAACCCAAAATTAACATAGGGTGGCCGAAAATATTGAGCATATCCATGCTCATATTTTCGGACCTCCACTACTAGTTTTAGGAAAATATTTGCTAGATTTTAAGGATTAAAAATGGTTGTGTAAGTAATATATTTTATAGAAAATGATTAATTAGAAAATATTAACTTAAAACTAACTTAATTAACTAATAAAAATCAGATTTTTTACACTTAGAAAATCCGAAAATCTAATTAATTAATTTAGGAATTTTGGCCCTTTAATTTATAAATAAGAAATATATTTTTTTTTAATTAAAATATCCGAAAAATGTATATATAATTCGGTTTTTATTAAAATAAATGGATAATAAATCTTATCCAAAATCCAAAATAATCATTGAGTTTTGAAAATGTTGTTGGCGCTAAAATTTAAATATCATTTTTGCTCCAAAATTCAAATAGTAAAATAAATTACTAAAATACCCTTTTTAGAAAATACTAATTAATTAATTAGAAAATACGTTTCAAAAATACGGGGTATTACAAAACCCCTCTCCCTCCCCCACGAAACCCCCTAAAACCATCAACCCACCTTCGAAAAACCCTAACCGGCCCTCCCCCGCCATTGGTTAGGGTTCCGATTGGGGTTTTTTGAGGGTTGGGATTGTTTATAGAGGGTTTAGGGTTTCGTGGGGGTAGTGAGGGGGCTGGTGGTTCGTGGTTGGGCGCCGGCGTCGGGGGGTCTGGGCGCGACCGATGTCGGGGGAAGGGGGATCGAGGCTGGGCTTGGGTTGTGGCTGGCGGTTGACTGGCTGTGGTGGCTGGCGGTTGTCTGGCTGTTGTGGCTGGGGGAAATTGTAGTTAATTGCTTTTTTTTTTTTTTTTAAAAAAAAAAATTAAATTAAATTGTTAAAAAAATAAAGAAAAATATGATTTTCAAGGATATATTAGTCATTCGCCTTTAGTTAACTATGGTTAGGCTTATAATTGTAGATTAATCTCATTAATGTCACCACTGAATTAATAACACAAATTGTTGATTACCAGAGATAATTTGATTTTTTGATGTTTACCATTAAGAAAAATAAAAAGCTTCAGAGTACCATTGAGAACTTCTCTTTTTTGTTTTTTGAAACCGCTAAAACTAAATATTTGGTTAAAATGTTGCTCTAAATGGAGAATGAATTGAAAAAACCCGCTATTTTTAGCCCAAGATAGCAGGTGTGGGTATAAGTTTTTAACCTGAACTTGGGCCTTATTTAGTACAAAGATTTGTCTAGAAATGGGCCAACTTTTTTGCCACGCTCGACTCTGCCATTATCAGGTTCAGATAGGTATCATATATTCATATAATTACAATCTACTACATTAGCTGATTGATTCCAAATAAGTCATTATATGTATCAATGATCCTCACTTTTAAATAAGTTCTCTCCTCAAGTGAATATTTCACACCGAACAAAAAAAAAAAAAATGGAATGAATGAATACTACATATTTAAAATTGAAAGACCGTGAATACTTAATTAAAGCAGTCAAGAAGGAGGGGAGGGGCAGTAGAAGCACAATTTGAATTTAATTAGGCTTTGTTCTATTCAACTTAGTTTATATGCATTTTAATTAATCTAAACTTATTTTTATTATAGCATATAGTTAGTGTAACCTATCTTTTTGTCTCAAAAAAGTTTACACACAATTTGAATTTTATTTTTTTAATTTTATTTTTTGCACTATATATGTTTTAGTATGACTATATAAGTATATATAGATCTAGTCTTTTACTCTCTTTCTATCTAAAGTTCTTTTTATTCGATAACCATCCAAACTAAAGAACTATTAAAGACGAGAAGAGTAATTAACCATTGCTTTAACTTTGTCTCTTCGATCATTAGCAATGAATCAGGCAACTCCTTTTTAGATTAATACTAAAATCAAAAATTTAAACCCAGTAAAATAAATAAATAAATAAATAAATTCTGACAATCTCAATCAAGTTGCAGTCCTAAAATAAAGGGATTTCAATAATTAAAAAAACCCAGTAAGAAAGACAGCACATAATAGGTATTGTAGTAGAACTTCCTAAAAGTAACGCTTATTTTTTTTATCAGTTTCGCAAGATAAACGAGCATGCATCCCGCACAGAATCTTACGTCCTCATTCAATAATTTTTAATTAATTGTAATAATTCTTATTATAATTTATAATTATTTCTATTTTAATTATTTTTCTCAAACAATAATTAATAATTTTTGTTAAAAAAAATTGAAAAAATCAATCGCAATCAGATCCAGCGGTACAACTACTTTACACACTCAGAATATAAAAAGGGTAGCTGGGCAAATCAGTTCAGGATTTCTGAAAGCTACATTTTCTCTCTCTTAAACCTTCATTTTTTTTTCTTCATATTATTCATTTATAAACTGAAAAAAATTAATAATTACAAGAAGAAGAAAGTAAAGATCGATATTAGATCATTTGAAGATATGGGTAGCGGCTATTTTGGGATTCCTAAAATGGGAAACTCTAATGATAAATCATCGTCATCATCTAGGAAGAGTAAAAAGAGTGGCTCTGAGAAGCCTAAACAACCTCAAAGAGGTCTCGGGGTTGCGCAGTTGGAACAAATCCGACTGCGCAGCCAGATGGGTTGTAGCGGGTTTAACTCTTCCCCTGCCCCGGCCACCTTTCATCAGGTAGCCGGTTTTTTATATTCTCGTAATAGTTATTTTCAACTCTCTTGTACATAAAAGAAAAATTAGGTTTTCCCCTATAGAGCGAAGGGTTACCTAATTCTGTATTTTTTTTTTGTTATTTTGAATTAATTGTCGTTTTTTTAACATTTTAGTTTGTTTTGTGTGATTTTATTTGCAGGAAGATGTGAGATTGCAAGGACTACAAAGTTACGGAGTACAACAATCTTCGACATCATATAATAATCCATACTATTCACAATCTACTTCACCTTCAACTTCATCAACTTCTTATGCTCATCATCCTAACTTCATGGTATAATTTTTAGTCAATCTTTGCATCATATTGTAGTCAAATATTTTGTTTTCTTCTTACAATGTTTTTGTTTTTCTTTGACTTTTGGTGTTGAATAATAAGCTTGGTTGCAAATCTAAATTTGTCCTTCTAATTAAACAGTAATTAAGTACTATGGGGGTAGTTTTGTAACTCACAAAATGTTAGGGTTTTTCTTGGGAGATTCCAAATTCAATAATTTTTATCACTTCGTAATTTGTGACTTGTGCTACAAACCTGACAAACATTTTGGTACAAAGAGAGTATTGTCGTGTAATAGTTTTCCTAATAGGCGAGCTTACTCTATTTTTATCTTTATTTTAGCTTTTTCTTTGGTCTTTTTGGGTGACTATATTCGAAAGAATATACATTCACTAAATCTCTAACAAATTTTCATGCATGTATTGAATTTGCAGATGGTATTTGGAGATCATGAAAGGTCCAATTTAAGATACCAAGATTCTCAGCCTAGTAGTGCACAAAGGTATGTATATACATTTGATCAAGTAGTAAAGGTAAAAAAAAAAAAAAAATAGAACAAGCTTGATGCACTCAACTATATTACTATATAATTAATAATTAATTACATGATTGTTATCTCTAATTGTGAAGCATCAAGAGCCTAATCTTTCGGTACATCGATTTTGAACAAGTTAATTGTATAAACTAGTACTATGTATGTAGCTAGTTCTTCCAATGCAATGTACATAGCTATTTTTTTTTTTTTTAATTCTCCATTATTTAAGTTAGACTATAGTTTTCTAGCAAGATTAATTAAAGAAATATATATATTCCCATGGAAACCATTTATAATTATACTAATTGTAAACCCTAAATGAAGGATATTATATTACTTATTAAAAGTTGTTTATTTCTTATAAAGATGACTTTTTTTTAGCATCTTAATATAGTTTTCATTTAAACATGCTAATGTACTAATGTAATGTTTATCTTTGATCAGATGGAACCCTAATGGTATACTAGAGAGCTCGACGTATACACAAGCAGGCGCGATTCCTAGGCATCGAATTAGCTATTATGAGGTACATTCATGACATCAATCAGTTCTAGCTACTCCGTAGTACATATCCATAATTTTTGTTTTATGTTATATGTTCATTACTTTTAGTTATGAATTACGAGTACTAAATTAGTTAAATTTTTTTTGAACTTGTAGGACTCGAGGCATCAAAGAATTGATTTCTTGAGAAACAGCCAGAATTCAGAATCAAGTGACCAGGAAGAAGTAGATTTGGAGCTCAGGCTATCACTCTAATCAATAAAATGATTTCCCGGAGGCTCCGAGAACTCGGGTTTAATCTATAACGGCCAGAATGAAGTTGAATCAAGAAGATGCAGTATATATCATGTTCATCAACGGGGAGAACACGTACAAGTATTATACAAATCTCGATCGATATTTGGAAGATAATTAACCTATCAAGATCGCTTATTAGAGTCGATGTAATTATATTCTTCTGATGTGCTTGTATATGCTTTGATGCATTACTAATTAACATCGAGAGGCAAATCGAGTAGCAGATTAAGTTAATGGAAAATATAATGTGATTTTAGATGGTATACAAGACTATTGTGTATTTGCCTTTATGCATATAATTAAGTGGAGAGCTAAATTATATAGTACGTCTGTATTTTTTAGCCACAAATTTCAGCTATTTGCAACCCTTGTTGATCATGGAAAAGAATTTTCGGACAGAAATGATTACAAGTAGGTTTTTTTTTTTTTCTTTTTGTTGTGAAAGATGTTAGAGTATGGATGAATATTCTCATTTTAATCTGTACATAAGTGCATTAATAACATCTTTTTTAAGTACACTTTTTAAAATATTAGACTATTTTAGCTATGATTATATACGAATTATTCCTCTAACAAGCTGGTAGAGTAACGTAGCTTGAAATTTGAGCATTTCTTCCAACTACTTATTTTCGTCAGAGAATTGAATAGAGTGACAAAGAGGATCGAAGAAATTAAATCTGGAAGGAAACTATTCCCATATTTTGAATACCACCCCTTTTAAATTAACCAACTAGCTAGCACCTTCGAACTACATACATACACTGTCCTTTTGTTTGATAAAAGCCTTTTTTTCTAAGTAAAATAGAGGATATTAAAAAGTTACTCGTATAATTCACCATTATATCATAATACAAGGGGTTAATGAAATTTTCGATTGAACTCAAATCTCACAAAATGAAATTATTGTGAGAATATTTTTTCAACCCTAACCTAATATTTTATTATAAAGTATCTTAATTTTAATTTTAACAAACTATGTGGTCAAAGTTTGACCCTCAATAAGCATGACTCATGAGTGCCTCACATAGTGAAACAAATGCTCAATATCGTAATATTTTAATAATAGGTTTTATTAAAAATAGGTACCTACAAAACTTAACTAGACAATGCAGTACGAAGTATTCAAATTCAAATAAAAAATGTACTTTTAATATTTTACGCTTCCACCTTCTGATTATAATTGTCACATTACTAATTGAAATTCTAAAGTACTATCGAAAAACTATAAAAGAGGAGGTAGTAATGTTTACTTTTGCTTCATGATCCGAATTCTTCTTGCGTTCAGAGCCCTATATATATATATTTTTGTACAGTAGTAGTATACTAGTATTATACAAGTACTAAAATCATAACATTATTATTAAAAAAAAAGCATATTAATGAGAGTAGCAGAAGTTTCGAGGAAAAGACCTACGTACTAAGACACAGATCCTCATGTTCTTGAAAAAGTATAGAGAATATTAAAGTTTATAATAAAATTTTATCATATAGTCAACATGCATAATTTTATTTTACATCTACACATGCTCTTGCATGGGAGCTGTGATTAAGTAATTGCAATAGTGTTTTGTTAAATATATTAATTTTAATTTTTTGAAACAAGTTGTTTAATTATATTATTATGACATGTAATATACTGCCAGATGATCCAGTGTGGAAAGAAATCAATCATATAATTAGCAAAAGATTATATCATCTGTCAAGATTCAACTTCAGATATGCTAAGCATATCTTCTTACTAATACAATTAATCATATAGTATATCAATGCAATTGTATGTACGTGCTTAGTAAACGTAAAGTCGAGGACGATGATGATGATTATTATTATTATTATTATTTCGATGAAATATTTATTGTTACCGAGACGATTTTGATTTAATTGATACAAGAACATTGATACTTGATATTTACCTTAACAATGGTGAATTAGTGAATAATGTGTATCTATGATTGATTACACTTAAAGAATGATAATTTGGAAAGTCAATAGTATAGTTAACTTTGATTTCATAATTCTTAAAGTTATTGGATCAGTTAATCACCTTTTTCTTCAATCTTTTAATTAGTGAACTCCTTAAAAGAAGAAAAAAGAGGAAATTTGATACCAACAATGTCAACTTAGCTAAACAAACATTATTATCAAAACTTTTTTTTTGACGAGATACATTTAAAATTAATTACATAAAAGTTATTTCTAGTCAAAGAAAAGTAGAAAATTTTCTTTTAAAAGAAAGAATGAAATAATTAATTTACACCTATACTATCTAATTATTGTTGCAACGTCAAGATGAGGTAAATTAGTAATATGACATAGTAATGTCCATTACATCACTAGTAGAAAAATTGTCTTTTACCACCCCCATATTTACTACGGTTAACATAAAAATCGTAGCAATATTTTAGTAATTTTGAAATTACCTCAAGGAAATAAAAAAAAAAAAACGCTATGGTTAACATAAAAACCGTAGCGTTAAATTAAAACGCTACGATTTTAATAACTGTAGCATTTTAAAACTACCCCGACCAAAACAAAAAAGAACAAATAAAACCCTTGTTGTTTTATTTTCGAACCAAGCAGCGACTCAATTATTCATAGTCTTCTTTGCCATCCTCTTCAATACTACCCAACCCACACCGCTCACGTCGCCGCCGGTTAGGGTTGCCGGCTAATCCTCTCACTTCGCTTTTCCGTTCGACCTTCTGCGTGCCGCCATCTCCTCTCAGCCTTTCCTTCAACCTAAGCGCGCAACAACTCCTCCCCTTTCAGCTCGCTAGGTCTGAAAACCTATGGTCGCCCTTTCAGTTAGTTAATCTTGCAATTCTAGTTGTGAATTGTTGATCTATTCTTGGGTATGTGATGGTTTTGATGAAAATAGTTGCTGCAAATAGGCATTTGTTTGAGTCAATTAACATTCTAGCTTCAATTGTGTTAAGATTTTTCTGATGTTACATGTTGAATTGAGTGATATCACTTATATGTCGCTGCAACCATTGTTTGCTGAATTTCCACATTGATTTGGGATGCCTGTAACTACTTATTTATTAAAGTTAAATAATATTAGGTTAAATGGGGCACCTTTGTCCTCTTAAGAGGGTATCAACTTATAGCCTTAAAGATACGTCCCAAATTCTTTAAATCCCTCATACGGTCATACCCAATTGTTTGTCTCAACAATGAGGTGTAAATGTGGATTATAACCTAATCTCTTTGGTCCCCCTAATTCTAATACTCATCAAATAATGGTGGGGCCCTTTTTTTTTTTTTTTTTTTTTCTTCACTAAATTAGGTGTATGTAGTGAGTTAGTGACATATGCATGTTAGTTTAGGTTAGACATTGATTAATATTTTTATGGCTTTATTAATTAGTATACACTAAGGACATAGTATTTAATAACAAGTATGCTATTGTCATCACAATATATGTTAGTTACAAGATTTTCAAACTATGTTTACAAATCGAATGTCCGACTTATAGCACGTTATGATGATTTTTGTGGAGCATGGTTGCTTACTATGTCCATTCAATCATCATTTTAAAGTACAACTTGAAGATTTTACTATGTTTATAAATTCTTCATCATGTGGCCTTTCATTTAAAGCACATACACTTACTAATATTTTTAATTTCACGTACTCCTTGTAACTCAATGATCCATTCTATAGATATAAGGCGATCGCGAAACCATTTAGCCCTCTTTGGAAAAAAAAAAGTGATTAACAAATATATATTGTGATGACGGTTAAAAATCAATTTGTTACAATGACTACAAGTTTTTTTATTATAGCCATTGCAAAACTATCCCTAATTGTATTGATTAAAAGAACATAAATTTAAAATTGAGCAAAACTATCTAATTAAAAATATTATTTGTGAAAAGATAACTTTATTAAACTATTTTGTTGAGCATACCACTTTAGTTTAGATAAAGTTTTTCTTAAAAAAAGTAAAGACGTGTGTTTCGGGGTTTTCTGATGTCCTGCGGGAGAGTTACAATTCCGAGACTGGAACCGGACGCCTGTACCTGCAAAATAACGGAGACTCCTGAGAGCTCCGCCTCCAACGGTCAAGTTAGTACCTGATTAAGGAGTAATTAATACAGAAATTAAAGTAAAAAGGTCTCTCTAGGTGAGAGTATTTAATGTAGGTAATCTGCTTTGCTAGCGAGATCAGCCGGTTATTAGTGTGTTCTGTCAATTATTCGGTCCCTCGATTAATGAGGATTAATCGAGTATTTATAGCCTTGGGAAGCGTGCAACTCTCTAGGTTTAAGGTAAACCTAGGGCCGAACGGGCTTCTAGACTGAAATGGGCCTTGATGGCCGGTTGTCCCATTTGGCATGGGTGGACACGTGGCGTGTCTTAAGTGGTCCGTGGAGGACGCGTGGCGGAACCTGGTTGGTCCACTTGTCAAACGGCGCTTGGTGGATAAAAATCCCCTAATCATTTGCCCCTCACAGGTGGCACGCGACTGGTCACGTGTCGCCTGTGACAGGTGTCGCACGGTGACAGGCGACGGCCCGTTACAGGTGTCACCTTGCAGACGGCCGGGAGACTCTCCCGCCCAAATTTGAATTCGGAGGCGACCCTTCGCCTTCTCATTTTGCCTATAAAAGGAAGTGCTGACTTCGGTCATTTTCACATTTGAGAATTTTTGCGAGAACATTCGGACCCCTGAACTTGCTCTGACATTTTCGGACTTTTTCTGCCTACCGCCTGTTCTGACAAGCCGACTGACCCGAACCTTCAGGACTTCATCAACTGTCATCCGTTCAGGTAACTCAGTTCTCTTACTCTTAATTTTCTTTTTATTTTTTGAAATGGCACCATGGAAGCACACGACACGCCCTAAGTTAGTGATCAGCCGGTCACCGGGGACGGCTGAATCTAGGACTAGGAGTGCCGCCTGCCCTTTTCTGGACCCATCTTTGCCCTTTATACAAAGTCCGACTGAATCTGTGTCTATGCAGAACGTGATGGCCAGAACAAAAAAGACTGTTAGAATATCAAACTCAGACGGCTCCTCCCAAAGGGTACTCCTTAGCGAAACATCTGACCAGGCGCCAGATGTGGAACGAGGCGACTGTCAAGCTGACAGTTCTGAGAGAGGGACCAAGGTGTTCCCTTCTCATCTAACCGTGGACATGTCTAATTTACCTTCTGCTCCTTCTAAGGGAGAGGAGGCGGGCCCCTCTAGGAGAGGGGAGGAGTCGTCCTCTTCGGACTCGTCGGGGGACGAGTCCGATTCCAGCTCTTCTGACCATAGTTCTTCTGACCATAGTTCTTCTGACTCAGAAGAAAAACATAACCGCCTACAAGAGGCGAGAAGTTCCCATGCAGTGGAGAAGGGGGATAATTGGGCAGAGCCGTCCGCCTCTTACAGAGAGGAAAACACCCCCTACTACTGCAGGGTGCCCCGGGGCCGGATCGCAACCATGCGAGACAACGTGGCGAGCTTTATTGCTAACCACAAAATGAGCCCGGAGTATTTACTGTTTGTGCCGGATCCAGAAGATACTGTCGTCTGGCCGGCTGGTACCAGCTATGGTGACGGCTGTTTTGGCTGCTATGTGGCGGCCATCAAAGCTGGTCTGCGCTTCCCATTACATCCGGCTGTTCAGCGGATTTTAGATGGGTATGATCTGGGGTTATGGCAGTTAGCCCCCAACTCTTGGGTA